TGAGAACACGGCAGAACCAAATGTATGGTCCTCCGTTTGGAAGAAAGAGCTTGCAAGAACCATGCAATGGTCGGCCAAAGCTACTGCTTCAATCTTTTATCTTTTCGATTCCACAACATAGGTACGATACTGGACAGAACTTTCACGGGTGTGAAGCACTGTACTCGGAGCAAACAAGAATACGGAAAGAAGACCACCGGGGAGTAGATTGTGAAGCACTAACCCGGTTGAAGACCATGAAACCAAGATCGAGATCGACGCCATCGAATGTGACGGTCTTGGCGTGGCCGCCCAAGTAGTCTTCTTTCTCGTAGAGCACCACGTCGACGCCGGCCTTGGCAAGCGTGTAGGCCGACGCCAACCCGCTGATGCCCGCGCCGATCACCGCCACCCGCATTGCTTCCGGAAGAGCGGCGACGAGGTCTTTGGGAGATCCCCTCGGCGAGGTATGCAGTCGGACGCCTCACTGGTCTCTCACGCACCGGTGGAACATTAGGAACTCAGAGGGACGGATTGGCTCCCATTTTAAGGATAAGGCGTACAGTAAATAGGAGCGGCGTGTTTCATTTGTTGACCGCTCGTTGTCCAATTACAAAACCATGCGTGACTCGGAGAGGTCGGAAGGTGGATGAAAAGACGGTGAAGTTGGTCTGCAGACAACAGGACTGCGTAGATTCGTCTGGCACCACATATTATTCTGGTAGCGAAAATGTGGAATACGGTGGATGCATCAATTATTTCACTGGACTGTTCGAGTGTTTTTGTCGACGCCGAGAGGTTCTATCCACACAGTATGCACGAAGATTTATAGGGTGTTCGAGGTAAACATTCAGAAAAGACAAGGACTAAATTAATGCGGCCAACCCAGTCTCGATCGAGGGGGCAGCCAACGGAGGCCGCTCTCGTCGTTTATGCCTCGTCCTTCCATCTAATTAACTTGCTCTTCTGCCTGCTTACAGCGGGCATCCAAATAAACAGAAAGATACATGCAGATTCCAAGTCTCCGGTGAATCATAGCGCAAAAATGAACACAATAAAGCATCGCAATTAATTGAAGGTAATTTCTATCGCATTGGCAACCACATTTGCTATCCACCGTCCATCGCTTCGCTGCTCTCGCCTCTCCTATCCTCTTCTTCCATCCACACCACCTTTTAAGATTTAAAGTATTATCTTTTGAAGGAGTTTAAATTTTTTTATCTTTTATCTTTTAAATAAATTGATTAAGTAAAGTTTTAGAGATAACGATCTCTTGATCTAAATTATTATTCTACACCTATAAATAGATAGTATCTATATGTGTAAATCTATCAGTCTTAAGTGCTCAAGCCTGAAAGGCTCAAATCTAAGAATATTTCAAGATCTTATATTTTTTAAAGAAAAAACTTTTCTTTTTATTTTACTTTCGTTTGGGTTTCTTCTTCTTTTGTTTAGTTTGATCGGATAATGGTAACTTGTTACTACTATTTGAGAAAAAGGATTACACTTGAATGTGATCTCTCTCTATCTTCTCATATCATATTAGAGTTACAAATAATATGTATTTTAAGATTTTTTTGTAAAGAAAATAATTTTTTTTACTATAGATTATAATTGTCAGGTTGATGAGTTTAGTATTGTTCTTAATCAATCTAACCATAAGATCTGAAAGATTTATTTAGAGTCCTATGTCATATGAGAAGATTTATGGGATATGGTTGATGCTAATACAATAATAACACTGTATACTACAAATGAAGAGGCCATAAAGAAATTAAGTACATTAAATATAAAATCTAAACAGATTTGTTTCTATTAATCTCTTTGAACACATTATTAGGTTCAAATATTTGGATTACTTTTGAAGCATTGTACAACAAAATGAATATGGCTTGGCCTTAGTATTTGGAGACTAATTTGATAAATACTTTCCAAGATGATTTCTCATTTTTTTAGTTTTTTTTTAAGATTAAAAATTTATGTTCAGAGATATTACTCTTAGATCCAGATTGAGCCTATTTATAATGTACATTGAAAATGTTATATTATTCATAATCTTTGAAAAAATATATTCTTTATGTTATATTTATTCAAGGATATGTTCAAACCATCTTTAATAGAGTTTAAAAAAAATCTTCTTACTTCTCAGTAACCCTTAACTCAGTCTTCATTTCACAAGGAGATAAAGATGCCCTTTTTACAAATAAGAAAAAGGATAATGATAAAAATAAAGAGACAAATGATAATACTAATAGCAAGCCAGCATCTTCTTCGAATAATAGTATAAATTAAAAAAATCAAATATTATAGGTGTAGCAAGTTAAGTCATATCAAGAAAAATTATCATATTATAATTAAAAAAAGAAATATTATAAATAAAAAAGATTGTTTCAATGCTACCGATGAAGATTATGGTAAATATTTTATAACTGAAATTGTTGTAGTGGATGTTAGAAAATCACATCAGAACATCACATATGTAGTAAAAGAATAAAAAATAAAAATCATAAATTTTCTAGAAAAAATATCTCGTCGTACGAATATTGGTGCGCAAAACAAAAGGCAAAATTGAAATCACGTGTATCAAGTGAGATTTGTTACGTATAAAGATTGTATATCCTTGAAAAATCTCAGATCTATATGAGCGGATGAAGGAGGTCAACTATCTTCCTCTCTAGCAGTGATCCACACGGTGGATGCGATGAATATGTTCCTCAAATTGCTGTATGATCTTCCTTTCCATGTACACCATGTGATCAAGAAAAGGGTCTACTTTTCTTGCTATCCACATGCCCCAAACTGGAGTTATCTACTAATGAGATAGGAGACAGAGGAGTATAGGAGGGACGACCAAGAGGTGACTAGTCTATGTCACATTTTGGCTCCTCCTATTTATAGAGGTTCCTACTATTTAACCCTAATGGATCATACCATATTAGGTATTGGATCTCTATCCAATTATCCAAGCCTCTTAGATCAGTAGACCTCTATCCAATAATCTCTATTTAGTCTTATTGGGTCTCACTCAAAAGATCCAATAATTTATGGACTTACTAGATATCCAATAAGATAGGGGCTCCAATGGATATCTCATATCCGAACTTCTACTCGTCACAACACCTACCATATACGTATGACTCTATAGACCTAGTATCAAGTTGGTCGTAAGTTGTACATATCAAAACTCACTCTAACTCGGTGAGTTATTATCTCCATAATAATTCACTCGACTCATCGACTACGAATGTATAAAGCCACTATGCCATAGTCTCCAAACGATATATGAGAATCAAATCCATTAGATATATCTATCCTCAATGACTATGTATATATAGTCTCTAATCCATCTAATATCCCAAAGACTGTATATCGAGTATGATATTATCAAGCCCATACGAAATGTACTCGAGTCTTTCTCTAATCGGAATCTCTCAGAAAACTCTTTCTCTCTCAATATAAATGACCATAACTAGTGATTTATCTAAGCAAGAATACATAAGATATTCCTCTTATGACACCGAGAGTGGATGATCCTCTATCGACACTTAATTGTCCTTGTAAGGTTGGCTGTCACTCCCGATGATCGACTATGCTAAATTTAGAACTTCTAAACATATAAGTCTAGTATGAAAGAATGTAGTACTTATATAGAATATCTTTGGTGTCTCAAGTTTAAAAACTAGATACACAATTGAGACGATAAAATCACTGTTTGACAATGAGATATCATCAACTATCCAACATTCCGTGAATAGATTAATCAGTGAATTTATTCTCCAATGAGCTCATGCATTATATCCTTAGTGTCCCTACACGAGTAGCTATGAGACCAGTAACCTCCATCATATAGACGATTATACAAAACACCAGTCTGCTTGGTTATCTTGATGTCCCTCTCGAGTAACCTATTATTAGGATTATTTAGAGTTTATGTTTAAAGTTGAATTAGTCTTATTATCGTGATCTTATCACGATTTAATTCTCATTGCACAGACCCATAGACATCACAATATATGCAACATGTAGCATAAAGTAAAAAATATCAATAATAATATAAATAAATAAAAGGATCGTGCAGAGTGTCACACGTGGCACCACTTGTATAATTGTTTTGTAGAGCACCTATGACTAGCAGTGGAGGCCATGACATTCATTAACTTCAAAATAATTGGATAGTTAATTTATGTTATGATCATATAATATTGAAGAGTATATAATATATTTCAAGTAATTTTTGTTTCTATTGCAAATGTAATTGATGCTAGAAATTATATATTTTTAGTTTTGATGAAGTCAAGTTTCTTTATAATATAAAATAATTAAATATAGATATAGTTACACTAGTACAAGGGTCAAAATTTTATATATTTTATCAGCTATAAGATCAGTACAAATGGTGATGTATCAATATGATATGTTAGACTTGGTCATATAAATTTTCTTAAATTAAAGATTATGGTGCAAAAAATCTAGTTAATGGTCTTTCCAATCTTACTATTTTTAGTAATAATAAGTTTTATAAAAGTTGTCAATCTTGCAAAGCACACAAACAATCTTTTGATAGATAACTTTCAATGTGTAAATTATAGTATATTATACTGAGTAGATTTGGAGGTGATGCTGTAACAGATTGGTGACTTAGTTGAGTTTTGTAACAATGATGACAATGACTCGATATTCAATTTCAATGGTAGATCTTGCGATTCTATTTTATTTTTTAAACTCCAGTTGATCACGTTTACTTTAAGAAAGATAATATAAGTTAACATAAATATTCTATCATCAGTTTTGTCTATCTATATCGATGAATATACGAAGATGAAGTGATAAATATTTACAAATCAAAAATTTATTATTGAATGTTCGTTCGAGATATCATGTTGTATCGTAAAAGTGACGGCAGGAGGGAGTGCATATCTGCTGGAAGAAAGGAAGGGTGGCGATGTATTGGACCTTACCTTCATGTTTCCAAGCCTCTGCCATGGCCATTGGGTGAGGGGTCCTGGTTGAGAAGACATCTTGTTTGACCTTCTCGTCACCTTGCTGTGAAGGTCCGTAGTGCAAGTTTGCTTCTGCGTGATACTTATAAGCAGAGCTTAGCTTATTTCCCATGCGTCCTGCGTCGCTAGACTGTTAGTAACATCACTACCAGTACAAACATTATATTTACATTTATAATCTAATAATCATAAAATGGTAACCAAGTCGTAGCAAGGATTATGTTTCACGTGTTCATGTGACCTGCTGGTCTACCATAGTAATCACATTAAAAGACAACGTACGAGGATCCTGTGAAATCATGCAACGAGGTAACCTCCAACGTAGCACGCAACATTTATATAAGGAACAAGTAAAAGACATATTTCCAATGAAATTAAGATCACGATCGAATGGCTGTCGGCATTCACACGCTCTTCC